TCTGTCCCAGACCAGGACAGCTCAGGCCCAGGAGTTCTGAGGTACCTAATATTCTGTTTTAAGAGGCCATAGAAATCCTTTAAGATCTAATGTTCTATACCTCAAAGATCTAGGGAAGGCCTAACCCTGGGAGATGAAGGATATTTCAGGAATCATGGGGACAAAGAAAGGAAGAAAGAAAGAAAGAAAGAAAGAAAGAAGAGAGAGAGAGAGAGAGAAAGAGAGAGAGAGAAGAGAGAGAAAAGAGAGAGAGAAAGAGAGAAAGAAAGAAAGAAAAATGATTCAAGAGATTAAAAAATAAAATAAAAGTTCTTGAGGAGAGAATTGGAAAGAAAATAAGTAACTTAAAAGAGAAAGTGATCTGATCTGGCTGTCCTTCTCAACTTTGGCACCTGAAATGCCTTTTCAACACCTATTAAGCATGTGGGAGATTGAGATGTTAGCATCCTGATTGGATTGATAGGTCCATTGCCAGTAATGTTGAAAATAGATTATTAGAGAAATAATGACACATCTGTTCTGATTTCAATTTTTTATTGTCCTGCTAGTTTCATCTTTGAATGATTTGGGGACGATGTGGCTCAGGTCTCATACCAAGCTTTCTATAAACTGGTTTTTGCTTCCATTGCTTTTTGCTGTTTTTTGAAATACTAGTCATAATCTTCTGACATCCTCCTGTGTATTATTTTGTAAATGTGTTTATATTTTAAATAGTATTGCCCTTGGTTGCTATGTCTCTCCACTTGATAAATGCTGATTATGTGGTTTCTTTTTGCTTCCTTGGGGTGACTGTCTTATCTAAGTTAAATTTTTACAGGAAATTGTAATTATTTTGGACCGGAACTCTAAATTCATTGGCATAAGGAACTTCAAATGAGGAAACTCCCTTTACCAATTTGGTTTGGCACCTAGTATGCAACTTAGAGTCTTACAGAGTTGCCTGAGCCACTGAGAGTTTAAGTGACTTGATGAGAGCCACACAGCCAGTATGTATCAGAAGCAACACCTGAACCCAGGTCTTCCTGTTTTTAATGTTGTCTCTCAACTCTATTTTGTTATGTCTCAGGAAATAGTAACGATCAAGGGAAAATAGAGGCAGCTAGGTGGATTGTGGACAGAGTGCTCAGCCTCACACACTTACTAGGTGTTTGACTTTGGGCAAGTTACATAACCTCTGTCTGCCTCACTTTTTTTCTGCTGTAAAAAATGGAATTATAATTGTACCTGTCTCCCAGGGTTGTTATGAAAATCAAATAAGATAATATTTGTGAAGTGCTTAGCACAGTAGAACATATACCTATTTAATAATTGCTTAGTCTCTCCCCACTCCCTAATACTTTGATCTTTTTACATCCTTTTTTTTTTTTTGAGGGAACATTGATGAGTCATTTGAATATGCCAGACTGAAATTGTTGCAAATACCTGCTGTGTCTTCTTCTTCTTCCTTATCCTTCTAATTTGATGTTGATTTTGACCTTTGCTTTAACTATCAGTGGCTTGATATCATAAACAGTTGATTCTAATATGCTTCTTATATCAGTAACCAGTCATTTACATTTGAGATAAGAATCAGTTTCATTTTGAGTGTGCACTACGCCTAGGACCTTTCAACTCTTTTCTGGAAGAAAGTATTTCTGATACATAATCATGAAACCTTTGAATTGACAGCAAGCCCTTGACTTTTTTGTTTTTTAAACCTAAGCCATATTTTCCAACATATTTTTCACCATCATTCCCTGAGGCCATCTTTGTAATGAGGTAACCACACATCAGAGTATGTGGACTTGGTTTAAAGCATCTTGTCAAATTCTTTTTAGAATTTCCCTGCCTCTTTATCCTTTGTGATAGTGTTGGCATACAAATTGTCTTCACCTTTATGGTGGTCTTGCTTGTTCTCAGCATGAATACTGCATGACAAGGTGATGTCATATGAGATGGTGTTTATTACTTTTTGGTAAATGATTTCTAAGTTAATTTCTTTATTTGCCTCTTGAGGGAAAATTTGTGATCCACCCTTCCATTTAGTTCAAATATCCTTTTGACTTCTGATTTCATTTAAAGCAAAAATTTCATGGTTGATATTGTTTAGTTCTTCCAAGAACCAATTAGTTTGTTGGCTACTGGATAAAGGTCTTCCATTCTGAGTACTTCCAGTTATATTTATAGATGGTCTAAAAATTACAATACTTCATGTCCACTACCCCTTTTTTCTGCCACTGCCATTATCACTTCAAAAGTTTTTGAGGTTTACATGGGAATGAGTCATTTTTGTTTAATTTTTTATCTTGGGTTGCCATGACCAAATAATTTAAGCCCTGTCCCACCCCTCATAGTGCCACCTACAGATGAGCTTCTCAGTACTTGGCTATTTATGTCTTTGGATAGCAGATTCTTTCTATCACCAAGACAATATTCGAAACCTCTCTGGGCAGCTTGGTGGTGCAACGGATAGAGCACCAGCCCTGAAGTCAGGAGGACCTGAGTTCAAATCTGACCTCAGACGCTTGACACTTACTAACTGTGTGACCCTGGGCAAGTCACTTAACCCCATTGTGTGGCCCCCACCAAATATTTGAAACCTCCCTAGCATGGTATAACATGTCAAAGCTTATATTTGAATGGCATAGCTTTCAAGAATCCAGAGTCACCTCCATTTCACAATGAGGTATCCAGGTAGGACTTGTTCTTTAAATTTTTTCAACTTTATTTATAAATCCATTTGGTCTCAATATCTTAAAATTAATATCTTAAAAATTATTGAGGGGCAGCGAGGTGGCGCAGTGGTTAGAGTACCGGCTCTGAAGTCAGGAGTACCTGAATTCAAATTCAGCCTCAGACCAAACACTTGACACTTACTAGCTGTGTGATCCTGCTGGGCAAGTCACTTAACCCCAATTGCCTAAAAAAAAAATAAATAAAAATTATTGAAATATTTTGTTTTTATATCAGCTGAATTTCTGAATACATCTTACCCCAATCCCCTACCTTTCAAGCTATCCCTTGTAACAGTGAAGCATTTAAAAGAGGTAGAGAGAGCAGTTCTGAAAACTAACCATATATTGATGGTATATGAAATGTTGCACATCCATAGTCTCACACCTCTGCAAAGAAGAGGTGGAGGTACGTTTTCTCACCTCTTCCACAGAGACAATTTGGTCATTCTAATTACACAGTGTTCTGTTTGGGGGCTCTTTTCCTTGTTTTATCTTTTTTCTTTTCTCATGAATTTATTTTTTATTTTCAGTTCCAGATTCTCTTTGTCCCTCTATGCCTCCTCCTCCTCCCCTTGTTCAATCTCTACAGAAACCTTGTGAGGTATGTAGTGAAGACAGTATTATCCCCATGCTATAGATGAGGAAACTGAGGCTCAGAGATAGTAGATGACCCGTCTGAGGGATAGAACTGAGACTTGATCCCACACTTTGTGACACCCGTCATCCCAGTGCTCCTTCATCTCTGTATCATGCTGTCCCTTCAAAGCAATTAAGGAACATACATTGTTAATTATGCAAGTACAACAGGATTTCAAGGAAGGATGTGATCAGTGGGTGATCCGTGGGTGAAGAGTTTTTGACAGCCTTTCATTTTAGGGTCTGAGAAACTCAAAGACTAGATGGATTAATAAGTGAATTCTATTAAACATTCAGAGAACAATTAATTCCAATATGACATAAATTATTTGCAAAAATAGCAACAAACAAAAGATTTTACTTTATCTCTTCTATGACATACATATAGTCTTGATATATAAATCAGGAGGAATCAAAACCAAAAAAGAAAACTATAAACCAATATCCCTCATAACCTAGATGAGAACATTTTTAATGAAATTTTCACAAAGAGGTTAAAGCAACCTATCACAGAAATTATACACTATGACCAAGTTGGGTTTAATACCAAGAATATAGGATTGGTTTAATATTAGGAAAACTATAAACTGAATGAATCATATTAATAACAAAGTTCACAAAAATCAGGATTAATTATATCAGTAGATTTAGAAAGAGCTTATGATAAAATATAACAGCAATTTCTGGGTTTTTTTTACTTGAAAAAATAGGAACAAATGGATTGTTCCAACTGATTGATTTTTTTTCAAGAATGAAGGACAGTGTTATGTAGTGGGTCAAACTGGCCTTGGAGTCAGGAGAGACCTGGGTTGAAATCCCAGCTCCAGTAATAACCATAACCCTAGGAAATTAGATAGATGCAAGGATGTTTGACCTGGAGAAGAGAATCTTTTCTTTAAAGCGGGTTGAAGAGGCCGGAGTGGGCAAAGCCACAATGATTGTCTTCAAGCCTTTGAGAATTAGTTGTATGAAAGGAGGATTAGATTATTCTACTTGGGCCAGAGTACAGAATTAGGAATATGGTAATTTGGTTTTGATATAAGGAAAAACTTGTTAATGATTAAATCTACTCGACTGGGCTGACTCAGGAGGTGGCAAGCTACTCTTCACTAAAAGTTTTGAAGCCTCGTCTAGACAGCTACATATTAAGAGTATCATGGGGGAGATTCTTGCTCAGAAATGGGTCTGGTTAGATGGGCACTGAGATTGTCTTCCAACTCTATGATTATGTAAATGTTAATTCCCAAACTTTCCAGTTGATTTATTTGCTGGGCAAAGTACCCTGCAATATACATTATATTTGCAAAAAAGTTTTATGTGACTTTTAGCTGAGTGGTTTTTTAAAAATTATTTCTTCAGGGTTTCCTAACCTGCTTAGATCATTAGCCCTCAGTTGGATCAGAGAGTTATCTGTAGTCATTCCACAGGGTTCCTTCCAATGATCCTCCTTTCACTTTACTCTAATTTACAATTTTGAAAACTCGTATGAGATTATGATGAGAGCATTTCCTTTTACTTCTCCTTTTGTTTCCTGGCACAGAGGCCGTCATTTCAGAAACTTTCCATTAGACAGGCTGCTCTCCTCACAATCTTAGCTTTTCTCTCCTTCACTAGCTCTGATGCAATGTTTTTTTTCTCTCATGCCCACAGTGTCCACAGTTTCTCAGCACAGTTGGCTATGACAGCATTATTCAGCATCTGAATGAGGGCCGAAAGAATTGCAAGGAATTTGAAGATTTTTTAAAAGAAAGGTACAGTACCATCTCCTGTAAGACGACACAACTGGGGAGAATCTCCCCTCAATCAGTGAGAGTTTACGGAGTCCCTGTTGTGTTCAGCACTTTACTGAAAGCTGTGGAGATTATAGAAATATAAAACTTGGTCCTTGCCTTCAAAGAATTTATAAGCTAGAAAAACAAAATGAAAACCCCAAACTATCTATATGAGTACTTCTACTACAATTTAGTCTACACTAATTACTTCTACTTACTGTCCTCTCATTCATCCACCATTTACAATCTGGTTTCTGACTTTATGACTCAGTGGAAGCTGCTCTCCCAGCAGCTACCAGTAATCTCTTAATTGTCATTTCCAATGACCTAAGCCCTCCTCCTTATTAATCTTTGTGCAGCATTTGATACTGTTGACCACACTTTCCCCTTGGATATTCCCTCTAATCTGAGTTTTTGTAACACTCCTATTTTCCTATGCGTCTGACCAGTCCTTCTCAGTTTCTTTTCAGAATCACCATCTATGTCCCCTAAAGTGGTGTACCCCATGGCTCTGTCCTAGACCCTCTTTGCTACTCTCTACACCCTCTCACTTGGTGATCTCCCATAGGTTTAATTATTCATCTCTATAAAGATGAGTATCCATACAGTTGTCAAATATTGCCATTTTACTTTCACAACATTTCTTACATTTGTCTCTTTCTGTCTTCTTACACAGCCCCAACCCTAGGTCAGGCCTTCTTTGCCTCTCACCTGTACTATTGCAATAGTCTAATAATTGGTTACCCTGTCTTAAATCTCTTCCCATTCAATCTGTCTTTCCCACCGTGGCCAAAAGAATTATCCTAATGTACTGGTCTGGCTCTATCATTCTCCTATTCAATAAACTCCAGCAGCCCCCCAGTATTTCTAGAATCAAATATAATCTGCTATGTTTGCTCTAAAGTTCTTCACAATTTGGTTCCAACTAGCCTTTTCTACCTTTGCTACAAACTACTCCTCTCCATTTATACTATGATCCAACTCCAGACAATATGAATCTTCCTATTTTCCCTTACATATAACATTCAATCTCCTGCCTCCATGTCTTTGTACCAACTGTCCCTCATGCCTGCAGTGTATTAACTCCTCAGCCCTGACTCTTAGAACCCCTACTTTCTACGTTAAGCCTTTCCTGTTACCCTAACTGCTAGCATCTTTGCCACAAGGTCACCTTGTATCTATTTTGAATATATTTTATGAATATCTATATATGTACAGATTGTATTTTTTCCTTCTATTATACAACATCTACGTCTTAGCAATATGATTTTAAAATACAAATGGTGTTCCCTTTAAATCTTGTACACTTAATACGTTCCCCCCCCAATAAATATACAGTAAAAACGATAGCAGTCCTACTCCATTAAGACAGAGCACTGAGATTCTTTTTTTAATGGCAAGATGACACAGCTGCAAAATATTGATTGGGGGTGGGGAGTACAGTAAATTTTAAAACCATCTACCAGGTAGTGAGGTATGAACTATACTAGTGATGAGAATATTCATGGAAATAAAATTACTAATCCTTTAAGTATTACATATATTTAAATATTAAGTATAGAAAGTACTTCTGACACTTAAGTTATGATCTTTGTTCTCACAGTGTTTAATCAATTACGTAACCATAGGACAGAGGATTTTCCTTTCTTGAACATGTAGTAGGCTAGCACAATGCCTAGGGTGGTGCCATGTCCCTTAGTAAGAATGTGTGCTAGATCAGTCTCGATCCTAATATGACTTTTAAGCTTTGTAAGTATCCAGAATTGATTTGCCTGTGTGCTTATTGAAAATGTATCTAATTTACCTTTCTATCATTGTGGAAGATCTTTGGAATAAGCCCTCTTTTATTGCTCATTAAGCATAAATAACTTCAACTTGGGCAGATGACTGTTTGAGAAATAACTGTGTACTTTGTGTTCCTTGATTAATTGCCAGCACAGAGCAATATATCTTCCCTTGCTCTTTGAAACTTCATGCTAAGCATTGCCAGTCTTATATCCTACTAATTCCCATGCTAGAACTTTCTGCTCTGCTCAGGATAGTTTTATCACTGTCTCCAAACAGATCTTGTCCTTTTCCACTTTTTTGTCTTTGCTCATGATATTTCCCATTGCTTTGAATTCCCCTCCACTTAACTAAACCCTATACATCTTTCAAGCCCTACAGAGTCTTATGTCTTTTTCATAGTTTTCCATGATCACCTACTCAAGAGAATCATAAGATTTAGAGCTAGAAGGCCTTTAAGAGCTCTAGTCCAGCTCTTTCATTTCATTTCATTTCATTTTATTTTGGTCAACCCTTTTATTTTAGAGAGGAAGAATTTAAGGCGTATAAGAGTTGAAGTAACTTGCCCAAGGTCACATAGGTAGTAAGTTGCATGGCTCTGGTGTCAAATAGGTGTGGCATGGTACTACTGACCCACACTCTCCAACTCTTCTGACTCCATGGCCTGGAGCTGATTTGCTTACTGCGTCTTTACCCACTTTGGCAGGTCAGAGTAGTTCAACCAGGTGAATACAACTCACTATCAAGGTTGTAGGAGAAACCATAGTGATGGTGAAGACATGCAGCCATTATTTACTTACAACTGTAGCTCCTGAGCTCCCATCAGTGTGATTCCCCTTTACACAAATCAGGCAAGATGACGCCATTAACCATCATGAAACATTTACTAATAGGATAAAAAGTAATAAGAATAAGAATAATCTTAATAATAATAATAATACATAGAACAATAATCCACTCATAAACCTGGCTCATGCTCTTCCAGCAACCTATTAGGAAGGAATATAGGGGAATGAATCCATGTGTCCCAGGCAACTCAAAACTCTAGACTGAAATCCTAAGGTCTTATGAGTATAGATTTAGAGTTGGAATGGACCTCAGAGATTGTTTAATCCAACCCTCATTATTTTACAGATGAGGAAACTGAAAGTCAAAGAAATTGAGACTTGTCCAGAATTATTTAGCTAATAAGTAAGGTCAGAAGCAGAATTTGAACCTGGGTCTTCTTGTCTCCACCCTACATTGCCTTTTAAACTTAATCAATGCAAGCTTGTGATCTGAACTGAGTGGGAATTTTTTACTCATGGAGAATAATTAAAATCTGCAATCTTCATCATGAATGGGCTTCAGTGGGTTATCCATCCTGCAGGCAGAAGGTAGACACTTATTGATGCAGCCAGCATAGCTTACACGCAGCCCTGGATATTTAGACTTGTGATTGTTCAATTGTATTTAGTTGAATGCTACTTGTCCCTATAAGAAATTGGGATGCTGACTGCTTGGAGGTCATGTTAACCAGTAAGCATGCAAATTGTTCTACCAACAAATAATAGCCATGGAGCAATGCCCTCACCCCACCCCTTTAAGGAACAGTATAGCATACATCACTTGTTAGATAAACCTGCTCCTTTTCTGGGTCTCTTTGATCTACTGCTGGATAAAGCCACTTCTCTAATATTCTTGGATTGCCAAGTCAGTGTTAAGCTCTTTTAGCAAACAGCAGCCTTAAGCCTGGCACTTATAGAACTTCCCAGATCTGCTGCTTTGGCTAGGTACTGAAGCAGTGTTGACCCTTCAGTGAAAAGCCATTCCCTTAAGCCTGGATCTCCAAAACTATTCAAGTCTGCTTCCTGGGCTTTGAGGAATTTCTCCCCTTTCAACTATAGTAGATAGTAAAAGAAAATGTAGGCAATTCCCTGAGGGACTTAGTCTCTTTCAAACTTCGTATGGCCATAGAGGAAAGACAGCTTTTTCTTAGCCAGCTCTTCAAAAAAGCAGAGGATTTTGTTTTTCTGCATCGGCTCCTAGAATCAGAGATTTCATCCAATCAGATCAGCTCCTGGACTCAATTGCAGAGTCTGTGTGCCTCTAGTCAGCTGGGCTCAGTTCAAGTCAGTTCTTCTGCCCACTATTTATCTTCATTGCTTTCTGTAGCCTTTTCTCAGCTTCTCTTCTGGTTTTTGTGACTATCTTGACTTTGACATTGACTTCTATCTTTCTGGCCACAAATTAGGGTTTCCTCATATAGGGACCTGCCTCTATCCTAGGTTGAGAAACTCAAAAACCACATTTTTGTAAGATATGACATAAATAGTCAATATACAATATTCCCATAGTCTCCAAACGTTCTTTGATGCAGTTTCCCAACAATAAACTTGAAAGTCCTGAAAAGTTATATGTAAATCAATTTCAGTTTACATTATAATGGAGGTATAACTTGTGCATTTGTAAGTATATATGAAGGGAATAAATACAAATAAATGCAAATCCATTTCTCTTTCTACTACACCATTACTGTCTTTCTCTTATGTTTCTTTTCTCTCAACATACTGGTTTTTCACCCTCTGCATCTAGCAGCCTCCTAGTAAGTTTCTAGTATTGGAGGTGAAGCAAAGTCAAGCATAACTTGAACATTTTGCATTGAGGGATATGTATGTACAGAGGCCTGACATCCCTAGAAACTATCTGATATTATGAGAATTTATCCAGTGGAGACTTCTACCTTGTAGGTAGAAGGAAACTTGGTTACTTAACATGGTTAAAGGGATAAGTTTCCTGGGAAATAAGATTTCTAGGTAATTAAGAATTTTCCTGAAAACCCTTTTAAACATAACTCTAGCTGGAAAAAAAAGTAGCTAGCTAGCATTTATAAAGGATTTTAAGGTTCATAAAGCACTTTGCAAAGCTAGGTGGCACAGTGGATAGAATGCAGGACTGGAGTCAGGAAGACTCATCTTCCTGAGTTCAAATATGATCTCAGACACTTTCTAGATGTGTGACCCTGGGCAAGTCACTTAACCCTGTTTGCCTCATCTGTAAAATGAGCTGGAGAAGACCCCAAATAGGATTATGAAGAGTTGGACATCTCTGAAATGACCAAGAAACAACCATATTTTCTGACTTCTTGCTTCCTTCAAACCACCTAGTACAGATTATGCACTTAGTGGATGCTTATTACATATATATAAATTGAT